CGTTATTCGAAATTCGATAGTGTAAGGGACCGTATAAAGTTCGCGACAGGTTTTTACGCGGTGAATCATCGGTGACCCATCCACTCTACTCTTCGTTCTGATCTTACGCTCATTGTTCGCATAAAGGACACGTTATCGCGTTCGTTGCTGGCGCGAGAAGACACTTTCTAACGTGTCCCGTAACGAGCACGTGGGTCAGTGCCGTTCGAAATTTCCCCGAAGCTTCCGTAACAAGGAGCGTTAACGCGTTTTCTATCCCGTAAATAAAGAAATACGCGCACGTCGACGTGAATCGATCGTTGGAACGATGCATAATGTGACGTAAGAAATCGGTGCTTAAGAATTGGAATGGCGGAGCAGTTAGACCGAACGTCGATTAACGCCTCTACGCGTGCACTTGAAACGCGAACGGCACGCGTCGAATTTTTACGGATGTGCTTCGGATCAGAATATTCATTGGCAGCCGTTACCGGGTAAATCGATTGCCACCGCTTTGCCCGTTTGCTGCTAACATTTTGTTGGCTTGTTTGCGTACACAATCGTGGCGGCTAGTCTTTCCATGTTCACGCGACCGCGGAAAAGTGTGTCACGCTTAAGCTTGCTCGTAAATCGAGTCAGCGTTTAAGTTTTTCTTCCGGTCTACATCGTTTCGTTCCCATTAGCCGTGTATTCTTAACTTTCCTGGTAACGCTTTGGTACTTTGGCCCGAGTTAGCGACCGTATCGCGTTCCGATCTTCGGCCCTTAAGTACACATCAATTTCGTCGAAGCTCGCAGTCGACATTGTCATCGATGAAATATAAAGTTTAGAACGCCGGGGACGAGAATCCTGGGACTTTGGAATTTTGCTTCTTGTAGGAAGTTCGTTTGGAGGTTGGGATTTTAAAAGTCGGAAATTTCGGGTATCAGAATCAGAGCGTAAAAAGTGACGGTGAATTCGAATTCAGCGACAACGGTGTGTCCGCGTCTAATCCAGATACACGAAGTAGCTGGTTGAACAGCGTGTAGTGGTGCATCGGTGGTATACTCGAGCTTGGTTGTTGTCGCTTTTACTACCTTGACATGGATTCTCGGCTTGCAGTCAGGGCCGGGGACGCTCGGAAAGGACCCCCGCGTGTTCATTTCACGCGAAAACCCTTTTAGCTTCTAGGCGAAAATTCGATTTCGTTGCGATCATTTACGTTTATTCGTGAAACGAGCAACCTATCAACGTTCCAGAAATAGAAATAGTAATAGAATGGAGACGATTCGTTTCGAGATGTAAGCGTTGTAATCCTGAATCGTGTGCTCGATTCGGCGCGCCATAATCGCTCGACAAAATCCAAGAATTTTTTTGCAGTTGCGTTACAATTAACTCGTCTTCCTCGAGTTTTGTCGAGCAAGAATGAACAACAGCTTTCGGCATTCTTTTTATAGCGTCGATTAAACTGGAGACTCGTTTCGAAACACTTGTAATAACACGACGACCGTGTCGTTTAACGTCGAGCAAGTTAATTTAAGAGAAAAACGAAAGCTTTTTGATACATTGTGTAGAGTATATATATAGATATAGCCCAAAAAAGAGAAAATCACCGGAACGTTATTTTGTACCGTTTATTTCGAGTCAATTTTCAAAAGTTTTCCAAACGAATCATTGTAATCGTATTAAAAGCGGTGGTCGCGAACGTGTGCTAACCGTTTTAAACATACACGATTTCGCATCGTCGTTCGAGAACGAAGAAGTCTGTAAATATTTTCCGAGGTTTGCAAACACACCAGTTCGCCGGGCGAACCAACAGGCGATAAATCTTCTGCCTTGTATGGCTATCGAAACTCTATATTTTTTAGTAACGATTCGTTCCAGACTCATCGAGTTCGCGTTAATTCGACGCAACGTTTACGTAAATATTTTAATCCCCTAATCAGCCCAATAACGAACGAAGCAAGCGTCGACCAAAGAGCCAATGTTCGCTGGTGCATGATGCGTGCAAGATAAAGTATCGACGATTCATCGAGATTTCAAATTTTCTTATTTTTTTTCATACAATTTCTGAATTATTTTTTTCATCCGTATTTTGCGTTACGAATAAAAAACCAGTCATCGAATATGATATTGTATGCGTAAAATATCTAAAATGCTTGTGGAAAAACGTGTAGAATAAAATCTTTTTACATCGAACATAAAAAGATACGTCGATTTTTATCGAAACATAAAAGACACACACGATTTCAGGGTCTCGTTCAAAAATATTGCGTGAATGAATAGTGTAACCTATGCACGAGATATAAATTTAGCATAACCTTCTGAAACAGCTAACCTTGGCTAATCATCGTTTTTGTCTGTCTCGACGTCGCAGCGATGCTTTAACGTATATAATTAAGTGTATAATTCGATTTAAAAATAAAAAAAGAGAATAAATTCGAGTGTTCGAATGCTCGAAACGTTTTTTTTTTTACAACGAGAGTTACATCCTAATCGAAACGCGAACAAACATGTGTGAAAAATGTAGAGATTTTAGTTGTAAAAACCATCTAATAATGAAAGTACCCTTCCGAATAAGAGGGGTATTCTCGTGATACCTCTTTAAACCATAAGCCATAAGCAATTAAGGAACAGCTGACACGCGGCCATAGAGTTCCCCTAGTAGTAGGTAAATATATGCGTATTCGCACACTCGGCAAAAGGTCGTTTTCCTTTTGCTCTTTCTTTTAGCGCAACAACCATTAGCGCAAATTATAATTTCTTGTCATCGGATAGTGTCAAGTATGCGCAAGTTGGCGCGAATGGAGGAACTCCGTGTTCTGCGTGTGCGCGATCAGCTGTCTCTTGGTCGCCCGAAGTTCAACCTCTTTGTTACTGGGAATCGAGAACCGAAATATTTAATAAGTAGTTCCGTAATACTGCGGAGTATATATACTGTACCCCGGCCAGTATCGATGATCAATGATACAAGAGAATCGGAAGGAATCAGTGTAACCGTTCAATTAGAATGCAAATATAATTGTTCGAATTGCGTCTGATTGCATTTTAAACGGAGCACGGGCATACGATTTCCAAGTCCTTCGTGGTTGTTCTTTAATACGGTGTTTTAAATACACAGCTGCATTCTCGCGGCGTATATTTACGTACACGTGTACTCGTTCTCGGTTGCACACCTGCTGATATTAGTTGCACCGCAGGTGCATCTACCTTTGCGCACGACACTCGAATCACCGGTATTCCGGATGCTATTTTTCCTGATTTTGCCCACACTCGGATAATCCTATTTGGACACTCTGTTTCTTTGCCTTCCAATTCTTTCTCGTTTAACGACGTTCGTACAATTTTATTTTACGTTAGATACGAACGCTTCGGAACGGGAAAAAGTTGATTACCATCGTGACATAAGAATCTACGTTTCTTCCTCCTTCTATTTTATTCGCAAGGTCGATTGCAAATCAGCCGATTCGATGTCCGAATTTAACAGAATCGTGGAGAATCGTTTCGCAATCATCTAAGTTAGCCTGGCCTTGTTTCGATCTTTTGAAACGACAATCGATGTCCAAATACGAATTCTAACCTCGTAGAGTTGTACTACCTACGTCAACTTTTTATAATGTCATGTATAATATTGTTGAAATAAATGAAAAATCTTACGAGACTCGAAATTTTCGAATTACGATCAACTTAACCTTATTGTTTCATACTAATAAGCGGATATTTTAACGAATTCGCCTCGTTCGAGGTTTCTCGTAGCGTCTGTATAGATGTTTCGTGATATTCGAATCTGGATAGCCTTTTTATTCGACTCGAAACCCGGTATATTTCCATTCTTAGCCTGCCTGTTTGTTCTTTGATCAAGTTTTTTGGCCCGCGGTTTAAAGAAAATTAACAAAATGTTGTGCGAAATGTTAGGTGTTACGTTCCTAATGAAAAACATAGACGGTCGATGTTATAAATTATTCCTTATTTTTTTGTTCTAGACAAATAATCGAGACCGCATCGACTAACATATTGCGTTAATTAGCGAGCGAGTATTTATTTGTTCGCGTTTTCTTGAAAAATCTCTGATATTCTGTCTCGAGAAGAAACCTTCTCTTTGTCGAATAAAAAATTCGAAATTAGTTTTTCGTGAAAAATCGTACGCACGGTCGCCGAGTTATTCCCCTGTTTACGAGCAATTTCACGAACGCGTTCGTGACTTCCGTTTTAAAAATAAATCGCGATATTGATTCAAATTATAATAGATATCACGCGTGTGAGCGTGTAAAAACTGTTCGACCGAGTGTCTTATCGAATAAAATACGCGTAACAAAGCGGTTACGACAGAGCCTTGTCCCAAGATAATTTCACAAGATTGACAAAAACTGAAATAGAAAAGGAAAAGAAACTTCGTGAACGTTGATAAACCAGGCTGTAGTCGGCAAGAAGTGTCGCGTTTCTTCGATCGAACCACAATGTAAAATAGACATGATTTCCTAATGAAACTAACGCGTTTCATCGATTTACACGGCGGAAAAACGTGAATTAATTAGAGCAGAAAGTTAATCGCGTCAAGTCAGTAAGACTAGCTTTCCAATTATTGAATTTTTTCTACTCGAATTTGTTTCTGCCTTACCGTGAACACGACGTGTTATTGTCTCTATTTAATCCATGGATTATTCGAAAGTACCTATATGTATACGTGGAACGAAAGTTCGAAAGATTGAAAGTCCAGTACGAAGGCATTCAAATAGAAAGTCCAGTTAACAGTATTTCGATAATCATGGTTCGATGAAGGTCGTCTACTGTTCTTCTGGAAGCGGTAAAGAAACGATTAAAAAATCGTTATTCTGTTCGATGGAATGTCAAACGATTCGTGATAAGAGAACACGATATAACGAGGAATATTAGAATAAATTTGTACGTACGTTGACGGTTTATAGTTTCCGTAAATGCTAAAGTACATATAATGTGTGGCCTAGTTATGTCAGATTTATAAATGATCTCTCGTGCGCGGGATAAGAGGTATAAAAAATGCAGTAATGTTTCGTTGGTTACAGTGAACCTGGCCGACAGCGGAGGACAGAGGGTAGACATGACGCATTTCGATTTGCTGAAGGTCCTTGGAACTGGAGGTACGTGAACGAAATTCTTGAAAAAAATCGTTCGGTTCATATCGTGTAAAAGCGTTTCTAGCTACCGACTAAATAATAATATTTTTTTCCGAACAACTATGAACTATATGCATATATTTGTCGCGATATTGTATCTTTGATCGTAAAGCTTTTACACGTTCATACTCTCGATAGACGTCGATAGAGATTAGCGAACCGCGGATATAGAGCTACATAAGATGGATAAAACTTTTGTGCAGCTTACGGTAAGGTGTTCCTGGTGCGAAAAAGGACGGGCACCGATGCTGGACGTCTTTACGCCATGAAAGTATTGAAGAAAGCGTCGATCGTACAAAAGAAGAAGACGACGGAGCACACGAAAACGGAGAGACAAGTTCTGGAGGCTGTTCGAGACAGTCCTTTTTTAGTTACGTTGCATTACGCCTTTCAGACGGACGCGAAGCTTCATTTGATTTTAGGTAAATCATCTTTTTAACACTTTCGAAGAAAAAATGTTATATCGTCACGCGTACCCTTTCGCTTTAGCTGTACGAATAAGTTGTACTTCGATTAAAACTTCGTGTTTTGCAGATTATGTCAGCGGTGGTGAGCTGTTTACGCATCTATATCAACGGGAACATTTCACCGAGGACGAAGTACGGATTTATATCGGCGAAGTTATTTTAGCGCTGGAACATCTGCACAAAGTGAGTCTTCGTTTTCCTTTCGGACTCGAATATTTTCTTTTGCCTATATTTGGGCTTTTCGTAGAAAAACTTTCGTATACGCTCGATTTAACGAACAATCGTATAACGTAGCGGACAGTGAAACGACTGAAACGGTAAAAAAAATTCAACTCGAATATAAATGAATTGACCAATCGCTTGTTAGCCTTGTCGAATTTCTACGATAAATATGTTCGATAGGATTAACCGGTATAATTTATATTCTGTTGCAGCTCGGTATCATATACAGGGATATTAAATTGGAAAACATTCTGCTGGACAGAGAGGGTCATATCGTGTTAACTGATTTCGGGTTAAGCAAAGAGTTCTTGCCGCACGAAAGGGACAGCAACGCCCGTGCTTACTCCTTTTGCGGAACTATCGAGTACATGGCACCGGAAGTGGTACGAGGGGGCTCAGCGGGACACGATATTGTGAGTCAGGATGAATTTGCGTCACGATTCGTTCCCTTCGTTCCTGGAATTTTGTTATCGCGGTCAACCTTGTCTCAGAACAAATCAATTTTTATCGACTCTTCCTTATCTTCTCTCCAATTTTCTTTCTTTTTCGATGTAACGACGTGATTGGTAAACAATCGACAAAAATCATAAAATAACGCGTATAAATTTACACATTTACGTATTAAGAATCGAAGAATTCGAAGCCTTCGAAGACCACTCTCACCCACAGAAGCTTTCACAACCGTGGTATTCTATCTATAAAAAGAAATGCACACTTTGCAGGCAGTCGACTGGTGGAGCGTGGGCGTCCTTACGTACGAGCTGTTAACCGGTGCGTCTCCGTTTACGGTCGAGGGTGAGAAGAACACACAGCAGGACATTTCGCGAAGAATCCTGAAAACGGATCCTCCGATCCCTGGTCACCTAAGTCCAACGGTTCGAGATTTTATTTTGCGTCTGTTGGTAAAGGATCCGCGACAGCGGCTAGGCGGTGGACCTAACGATGCCAGAGAGCTGAAAGAACATCCGTTCTTCAGAAAAGCACCGCCTCCCTTCGGTTGGGCAGCGTTGGAGAGACGAGAGATCTCTCCCCCGTTCGTTCCACGAATTACTCACGAGCTGGACACCAGTAATTTCTCGGACGAGTTTACCAAAATGATCGCTGCCGACAGCCCAGCTGTGGTTCCTCCTAATTACGACAAAATTTTCAGGGGCTACTCGTATGTAGCACCCTCCATATTGTTCGGGGACAACGTGGTTAGCAAGGACATCTTCAAAGAAGCGACGAAAGCCAGTACAGAATGTCAGCGACCATCGGCATCGGACGTGTTAGCGGCCAGATTCGAAGAATCGACCTTCTTCCAGACTTACGAACTAGATCCACGCGAGGAAGCTCTAGGCGATGGTAGTTTCTCCGTTTGCCGTAAATGTAGGCACAGAAAAACGCAGCAGGAGTTCGCCGTGAAGATAGTCAGTCGTAGAATCGACTGTGGAAGAGAGGCAAACCTGCTACGTACCTGCCAAGGCCATCCGAACGTGGTCAAACTTATCGAAGTTCATCAAGACAGAGCACACACCTACCTAGTAATGGAGTTGCTGTCGGGTGGAGAGTTATTGAGGAGACCAAGGCCGTTCAACGAACAACACGCCAGCAGGATAATGAGGCAGCTCGCCTCCGCGGTTCGGTTTATGCACTCCAGAGGCGTAGTCCATAGAGATCTGAAGCCGGAGAACATAGTGTTCGCTCACCAGGGAGAGGATTCCCCGGTGAAGATCGTGGACTTTGGTTTTGCCAGGATAAAACGTGGCTGCGAACCTTTGCACACGCCTTGTTTCACGCTCCCGTACGCGGCTCCTGAAGTGGTAGCCAGGCAAGGTTACGACCAGAGTTGCGATCTTTGGAGCTTGGGCGCCATCCTGTACTCCATGTTGTCCGGTAAACCACCGTTCAGAACAGGCTCTCCGGACCTGGCCACCAGAATCAGAGCAGGGGAGATCGATTTCGACGGCGAGTCCTGGAGTCACGTATCCAGCCATGCCAAGCAAGTCGCCAAGGGTTTATTGACCGTCGACCCGAGCAAAAGACTGACAGCCAGCGGTCTGACGAATCACCCTTGGTTAAACGAGACCAGTTCTTTCGACGTGACCACCGGTTCTTTAGACGCGAACGCGTTACACGACGGAATTCACGCGAATCCGAACATCTTGGAGAAGCCGGAGGGTTTCCGGCTACGAGAGGTAGACGGAGCCAGATTGGCGCAGAGAAGAAAGCTGCACAAACGTTCCACGTCCAGTTCCGTATCCTCCTCCGCGTCCACTACCTCATCCAGCCCTTCCATGCAACTCCTAAGACCACCGAGCGTAGCTACAAACCTCGCCACTTCCGCTTCTCCGGCGCAGCCGAGCGCCTTCGACTTTGGCGAAGACAAAGTCAACGAGTACCTCAGCTCTTTATCGTCTTCCTCTGACTCGAACTCGCCCAGGATTATGCAGGAAACGCCAAAGAAGAGGCGTAAACGCGACGAGGATCACTCGGATCAGGAAGCACAATCTAAACGGTACAAGAGGGTTTACGTAGACAGTGAGCTTTATAAAAATAGGACTGGCCCGGTAACTAGGTCCAGAAAACGAAAGCTCGAAGAACAGACTGTGAATAGTGGAGGTGATGGTCTGACGACCGAATCCTGCGAATCTTCCCGTGTGGACGCGAGGGAGATTCACCGGAAACAGAAAGCGGGGAAACGGCCGAAACGGTTGGCCACTATCATCGTAGAATAGATAGATCACTCGTGTTCGAATCACCGTGGCGAGCCGATTAATTCGCGTCTCCTTCGTATCGTGTCTCCTATACGTATGCATTTCACGCGATGTTGTAATGTAACGTTGGCTGCCTTCGATGCTCGAATCGATTCGAGCGAGCATTGCGTCATTCCTACTTCCGGAACTTGCGGACGGGGACTTCCACGTCTTGAATTTTCTACGGGTTCGTTGGGGCCTTTCCTTTTCACATTACTTTCGTGGAGAATTTATTTAAACGTTACCTGCTAATTTAAAGCGATCCTATCTATGATGCTTACTTCATATTAAAGTAGTCAGTATTTTTCTATGAACTGTTATTCTTGTTATATTTACATTATTTTCATCCAAGTTTTTACTTTGTAACTTTTGTTCTACGTAGGGTAGGACTAACGATGCTTTTTATTTAAAGCAATGTCCGAGATGAGAACGATTACTGCTCGATAATTTTTAAACTTGTCCGATCCTAGGCGGTCCTTCTCTTTTCTTTACTCGTCTAATACTTACACCGTTTCGAATACAGTTTTCTTTCAAACGCGCGTAGGATATAATACCAACAGTATTAAAACATTTTAAAAATTAAGAAAATATTGCAACACGCTTTGCATCTTCATCCTCGACGGAGTCAGTGAAAATTTCGAATGTTTCTCTTTTATAGTTTTTCAAAATTTTACTTTATCTTCTAATCGTTGAAGCCAGAAAAATATAAACGGCATTTTGATTACTCTTTAGATCGATTCAGAAACTTCTACGAGCTCGTATTAGATTCGAAATAGGGTCCCCGAGCGACACCGTTCCTTATCGCAATCTTTAAATTATTCTAGATACTAAATTTTTTTTATGCCATGCTTAGGATTACGTATTGACGAACAGAGCCGTAAAAAATATGCGTGGCCTGTTCGATATTATGTATGTACATATGTGTATGTATTCCCGTTGTTAATACATTGCGTACTTGTATTCGCATTTAAATCGAAAGATTCAACGGTGATATTACTAATCTCTGTTAGCAAAAAAATCTTTGAATGCAAGTGTAAAATACAGAACGAAATTAAAAAGAAAACTAGAATATCGTACGCGATGTATTAATTCGTGAAAATTTCGATCATTCGCAAACATAGTAACAACAAATCGTGATCCGATTTGTACAAAAACACGACTCTTCTTCGTGTAAATACGGAAGATCGAACCTGATCAACGACTCATTGATTTTCCGTTCACTGTTGTCTGTGATGAAACCTTGTATAAAAGAATTAGTGACGGGTTAATAATTACCTCGAATCTCTTCGAACATTTCGATTCTCGTCGATTTTGAAAATTTTTTTATCATTGCTTCACTATCATGGTAAAACCTTTATTCGAAAACAATTCTTTGTCGTATCGGTAACGGGCGTTTGAAATTCGAACGAGTCTCGAAGTGATTCGAAATTGTGAAGCAAGTGAATTGCTTGAAGATACGATAAAATACCCGTCACTAAAAAAGTAAAAACGTCGAAATGCACGATCGTTTTTCATTTCTTTCAGACGGTTTTTTTTTTTTCGAACGAACGCCTGATTCTTGTGTCCCTGATCTTCCCCGAAAAAAAAAAAACAAAACGAAAAAATAAAGAAAAAACACGGAATTCGAGAGAGCAAAATGTTTCTCGCGAAACTCGATTCGTGACAATTTACATAGAAAAATGTGCCTCAGACGAAAGACAATTGAGTTATTAGGTGTGCGTGTATATTTCTGAACGATCAACATCGGCGAAGAGAACTTATTTATTTAACTAATGGTTAGAAGGAAAAAAATACTAGAATGAATGTATGCGTGAGAGAGAAAAACAGAGTGCGTGTATTTCGTGATACGCGCTCGGATGATTGATTATAGATTCTACTCGAAAGGTATGTTCTGTTCACCGAGCATATATCGAATACACGCTATTCTTATACATTGGTTTTTAGTCCTGAATCTTTATATATGTAAAAAGAAAATGTTATATATAAGGAGAAAAAAATTATATATGTATACACTTGTACCCACGGTGAACACACAGAACCATGTATGTGTATAGCATTGCCTCTTTAAATGATAATTATGATATACAGATGACTTAGATGTTGGATATTCTCTACAATTCGATTTAAAGAAGTGTACAGGAGGTAGTCCTCGTCTTTATATTTTCTAAAGTCTGGTTTATGTTGATAGAATAAATGATAGAGCATACTGCTTCTAAACTATTCACCTGATAAGAAAAGGCTGAGTTACTTTACTTTACTCGGAATGGAAAGAAATAGTAAGAAATACTGGTGTTAATGTAATTAGCTTTAAAGCCTAGATTACATTAATAAAGTTTACTGATGTTAGTACACTACCCTATTTTCTTCTACGCTACGCTACCTTACTCTATTTTGCTCTATGAAGCAATAGAGTATATTATAGTAGTATGTTTCCCATTCTACTCACATTTTATTCTTCCAAATCTAGTTAATGTGAACTAACTATACACAGAAGAGAAGTCATCTACCTCCCCTCCTCTCGTTATACGTATTATGTCCCTTTAAAATACTTTTTATATATTAATTTCTAATAAATTTAATACTATATTGTATTTAACTTTCTCAGGTGATATAAATACTTACTAAAATTGTTTATGATTGCACGTAATTATATAATCTGCATTAGGTGCGAACATTGCTATTTAAAGAGGCAGTGGTGTACATTTTATAAGGTACTAACAGATACATATATATATATACACACACACACGTACATACACATACCTATACTTAGGGTTGCCGAGGTTTATCGAGTATTACATGTATATGTATATAACGTATGTGTCTTTTTTGTTTCTCAAAAGAAATTTCTTCTTGCTATTTCGCGAACGGTGATCCGAGACTATACGCGTGACGTGTACATTGAAAGATTTATTAACGAGGTGAACATCAAAACGTTTCTTTCTTTATTTTATGGAAAGAAATTTATCTTCATCAAAAATTTTAATACGTATTCAGCAAATTTTTATTTATCCTGAAACAATTTAAAAAACAAACAATTGAATCTGTATGAATTGAATCGGTAAATGATTACGAAATTTCTTGATATATTGTGGCAAGAATGTTGAAACGACGAGTATCACTGTTTTGTTTGTTAATTCTCGGTATGTTTATCGAACGATTGGTGACTCATGGAATTTCTGTTTCAATTTAGCATGTTCATTCCACAAAATAGAATAGAAAAGAAGCGCATTCTTTTCGAAGAATCGTAGCTCATGAGTAAAAAAGGAGTCACCTTTTTTTTAAATTTCTTTTAATTTAATATAAAATGCTGTTGTTAGGAAACTTTTAAATAGCATTTTAAATAAAATGACGAAAGTCTGTGGATCACGTTATATCGACTTTGTTTATGAAGTAAAACGATAAAATGAAGGTTGTTATACTATCGTAAGAAAAGGTACATTATATAAAAAGGAAAGGTGAGAAGGAACGAAGAAAGGACAGCGAAGACTGAAATGGTTATATACCGACTCAGGGAACAGAGAGACGCAGTCGAGAAAATTCTCTTGAAAAGAAAAAAAATTGAATAAAAACTATTCGACTACGAGAGGATGAACGTTTCATCGAAACGTGTGCTTCTACCAAAGACGACCGAAGCAAAAATCGCTCTGTAAAGACCAAAAAAAAGCCAACAAAAATAAATATATATGTATGAAAAGGAAAAAATGGGAACCGCGTTTTACGACGTTGTTATAAAAGTAAGACGCGCGTTTAATTTTCGCGATGAAATAAAAGCAAAAAGGAACGAAGCAAAGATTGAAAGAAACAAATATTTAGTTGAGAAAAAAGAACAGATATATATACATAAAAAAATTATATATATATATATATATATACATATATTTAATATAAGTATATTATTAGAAGATTATATTTCTTTAATAAGAGGATATTTCTATTTAGCGAACGTGCAAGTCATTTAACGAGTCTCTGATAAGTTGCAATCAGTTCCACCCGTTACAAGACAGAGGTGGAACTGACAATTTTTTTCTAGATGCATATATATACAAATATATCACTGTTACGTTATTAAAAAAAAAAAAAAAGAAAAAATAATGAAACGAAATCCTTCGAAGAATACGTATATTTGTACAGGGAGTCGTGAGAGTCTAGTGCATTCTTGGAAAAAAATATTTCGACAAGTTCGAATTCATATCATTAAGTTTTACCTATTGTAACGAGCATCATAGTATTTTTGTTGGGTACAAACGACAGTATGTACAGTTCATATTCGTTTCACGATTCTGTCAGTAGAAACGTTCGTAATTCTTCATTGTTTCGATCCGAATCTTCTGTCGACGGACTAATGAAATTGTGCGATAGACTTTTGAGGCATCCTATAATGCATATATTATATATACATAAATATACATAGTTATATATACGGATTCAAGCTTGTACCATACGATAAAGAGTGCTGTTCTGTTGCTATAAGTACCGTAAGAGAGACAAGATACCTTTGTTACTACTGGTTGTTAAATATATCATAACATAATATTTATTTACATGATGGATTTTTCATTTGCGCCTTGAATTTCCCTATTATCAATTGTGAATACGAGTTTTCTTTTGTCAGTATATTTCCCCTTTATTTTGATCTAGTGCTTGTTCAACAATTTTTTATACATTTTTCTTATACTTTAATGGTACTTTTAATTACGTTTATTTTTAGCGTGAACTAATTACGAAGTTTTTAACGAAGGAAAAAAAAACCGAACGATCCTGCCAGGATTCGAACCTGGAATCTTCTGATCCGTAGTCAGACGCGTTATCCGTTGCGCCACAGGACCGTGTTACCGTTACTTTCTACTAAAACTAAAATAAGGGACTAATTTGATGAACAATTTTACATAAATATCTTTATTTAATACAAAATATTGATAAAAAAATATATTAACAACCTTTCGATTTAAATCATCAAATTAATGTATTCATATAAAACGACATTAATAATTGTATTTGTAATGTAACAGTTAATTATAGTATGTAATCGAACATTATAACACGAAGTAAATTATTCACTAAAAAAATAATTAGACAATTATTTTGAAAATTAAATATAAACAAAGTAAAAGTTAGTAACTATATTCAAAGATATTTACAAAAGGCTTCTTTATTCGTTAATTTGAAAATTAAATTTAAATACAGTCTGTAAATTGTCAATATCGACAGAAGTGTCATTTGTACGTAAGCATGTTGTGTCATTATTTAAATATTGTTTCTTTCTCATAGAATTACAACCAGCTTTCTTAAAAAATACACATTTTTTATTTTGCATAGGTGGAGGCAGAAATTTAATAGAAGACGTAGTTTTACCAAGTTTCTGTTCATCCAAAGCCATCTTTTCTCTGTAATTACCTAAAGTATTACGCATTATTTGTCTTTTTTTTATCAAAGGTGCACTGTTGCTTTTCAAGATACTTATATTCTTATTTAAATCAAATGCTTGCTTCTCGAGAAGCTTTCCAGTGGCTAGACACATTTCTAATTGTTGGATACACCAGCACAATTCTACTTCAAACTGATCTTCGGCTTCTTGACTCAAACCGCTAGTAGTATCTGTACTAGAATTTGCAGAATCTGTTGTTCTTGATGATTCTACACTTTTTTTGTTTGTTGCAGGTTTCTTAACATTCTGAAATTAATATTAGTCGTTAAAAAATTACCAATGTTATATTGTATATATTGTTAATGAGAACGTAGTATAGGTTAAGTATAGTTACAGATGATCATCGTTAAAAAGGAAAGAATGATAGGAACAAAATGTCAAGTAAATATACCGTTCTTGGTTTTGGAGGCATTTTTGTTATATCGAACTGTTAGCTAGGGTTGCCTTTCATGTAATCATTAATGTTTTTTCCTTATATGTAATGATCATCGATGTTGACATTCCTATCTATTGTTACAGCTGTGCCGGAACTGATACCAACAGATTCTATAAACTAAAAATAATATATATGTATTATAATTATATAGAATGTATGTTCGGTGCATATCAATGCCATCTATTAGATACGAAATGTACAAAAATGGCTCTATTTCTGTCCTAACTGATCCTTGTTTTAGGCCACGCGCCACGCGCATCAAATAAAAACGTTCTATGGAAATATCAAACGTATACACCAAACCGAGCTGATATATCAATTACACGGTATAAATTACCATGTTTGTATTTAATGTGGCATAAATTACAGTGCATTTCAATGTAAAACGTTCTTTTGTTTGCTTAAGTTGTTACATCAAGGAAAATACATATAACTATTTCTGATTTTACGTTCGAAGATACTTGTGTTTAGGTGAATCGATAATCATATTTCCTGACTTGTCATTCAAATATAACATTCTATTAAAATTCATAATGAATTTGTGCATTGAACTTCGTAACGCTTTCACTTGAAGTTCAATACAAAAATGTTAGTGAATAAGATGCATCATACGATACAACGTTTTTAACGTAAAAATTTTAAGATTCATAATTGCATATTATTTATGTCTAGTTATTTTAGAAATGGATATATAATGGAGTCTAATTTATAATAAAACTTATTTCATTTCAGTTGTACAAAAAGGACTGTTTACAATGTTCGAATGGGCATATGATGGTGTTAATGCTTCCATACCACGTAATGCAGGCCCAGAATGTGCATATTATATAAGTCCCAAAAGAAGAATAGTTGAGACAGTATTTATATCAATAGTCACTATTATTTTGCTGATTTGGGGTTATAAACGAATTAATTTACCAACTAAAATATCTTATGCAAATCATGATCGTGTTGGCAAAAGAATATTATTGATGATTATGTCACTGGTATTGGGAATAGAAATTGGTTTTAAATTTACCAGCAGAACAGTTGTATATATATTAAATCCATGTCATATAACAACAGCGGCACAGGTAAAATTAACGAGGATCAATTTCTATAGCGTTAAATAATGTTCTGTTTCAGTGGTTTGTAATTATTAATTTTTGTCTAATATAGTTATATTTGCTGATAGCTGATCCTAGTCCAATGGTCACAGCTGTCTTTAGGATACACTTAAACTTTTTAAATGGACCACTTTTAGCATATTTGTTCCCAGAGACAGAATCTCGCAGAGTAACTGATCATATTATTAATATGTATACGATTAAGTAATTCAAACTGACATTAATATAATTCTTATAGATATTTGCGGACAAAGCAATGTATTACATTCAACACGGTTTGATGGTAGTAATACCATATTATTTATTGAGGATTGGAGGTAGTTACAATTTAATTTTTAGTAGTAAACAAATAGCAATGGGAAGATTAATATCATTAATGTACTTTAATCTTCAATTTCAGGTGTTTACAATGTTGAACCCCTATCAGATATGAGCTGGACTGTTTTTAGTTATGGACTAAACCTTGCATATCATTTTTGGGTTCTCCAATGTATTGCTTTGGTATAAATTTCGTTTGTCTATATAAATTTATTATTTATTCATTTAAAATTAATGCATGAATATTTTATTTTTCAGCCCATACAAGTAAATCTTAGTCACATATTGTGCGCAGCTATTCTAGATCCATTTGGGGGAAAATATTATAGAGTATGGACAATGGTTCATCAAGGAATATTATGCCCTTTATTATGCAAATTATTTTGTTACTCGTCAGACTATTTTTTAACAAAGTGTCCGTTAACTAGAGTAAAACCGGCATTAGAATGTACACTTCCAGAAAAGAAATATAAACAAGAAGACAATGAGAAGTTACAAGAAGAAACAGCTACTTCGGGAAATGGGCACACGCGTGTAAATTAGTGAACACTTTATAATTGATGCCAATGTACCCTTTACAAATACATTGCCGTAAGTAAGTGCATATTTCTGCAATTAGGGAAACGGATAACTTTGTATATCAATAATTGAGTAAACACAAATTATTTTGTGTTTACTCGTGCATTCGTAATTGCATAGTCAAACACGTTTGTAGTTAACTTTTACACTTCGTCTTCGGATGCAGTGAGTAATAACAGCAGGGCAAATTATGATAGGAATTAGAAATTACTAAATTTCGAACAAAAAACTTATAAATCTTAAGTAGGTGCTACTACTTCGGAGTAGCACGTTTTTCCATTTAGAAGTTTTAGATTACAGGACTCTGAGAATCTCGCATTCCTAACGCGTCTAGTTAAAACTTATATTTTATGAAATACAACCACTGTAGAGGATGAATTTTCCATAATATATTTTTTGCCATCCATAGAAAAATTATAGGTTTGCTATTGTTGCAAGAATATTTACATTTTTTCAACACTTGTGCATGTAATTTGTTTAAATACCTTTTGCGCTTAGATATAAAATTATTATGAAGCTTATCTTATGCTACGAATAATGGTAATTTTAGCCATTAAAATTGTTTATGGTACCTGTTGTGACTGGAAAAGAAATCAGCTATCGAGTCAAAATCCGGAATTTTCTGGTTTGATGCGTTACGATTTATTTTCATATTATTAAGAAATTTGATAAAGTGTGACTTTATTTCGAAAATTTCTCAGTCATAATAAAGCAGCTTGAAATTGTGATATATAAACGTATAAATTATATTATGTGATACGGTATAAAGTACGAATGTATTGATAAAAAAAAAAAAACATAGTTCATTAATACTACAGAAATGTAGGATTGTGTCAACAGTGTGCACATAGTTAACTTATCACCTTAGTTATACAGTACATTCCATATAAAATTACGTTATTAATTCTTTATTTACTGTCAAAACTTTTATTCAATAACGTGTGTCTTGTTATGTTACATTTTCAATTCAAAATACCAAAGAAAACAAATGCAAAATGCAACGTTTGTGATCCAAAGATAGTAATTTTAGTTTGTTGAAATATTATTATATATATATATTTTATTTTACAATAGCTTTAGTATTAGTTGGCGAGCGATTTTGGATTTATATTTATTATTTTGTGATTCTCAATTATAAATTATAGTCTATATATGTCTAAGGAAGTGATAAGTAACGTATATGTAATTTGTATTTTCAGTAATTATTACCACATTATTTTTCTAAATTATTTATGTGATAATAGTTATTTTGTTTATTTGAATGGCCTAATCTTAAACAAATACTGATAGAACTAATCGTTTTGTTTTTACAAAGAACTACAATATTAATAGCTTCGGTTAGAAATTGTGTATTTTCGACCTTTCCACAATATAGTAAGAATTTGTATCTAATTGTGCGCACTTTTTACACAATTGATATTTGTGCCCTTTTGCATGGAAAGCAAATAAATATAAGTAGATTTTTACATCGTGGAATGCTTTCATAAAGTATCTTATATTCTTTATGCAAATAACATTTATATTGATAATATAATAATGAAAAATCAATGATTACATATAAATGAAAACGGCAAATAAAAGCATTTTATCGTAATATAAATTTCCAAGCGAAAGGTCATGAATAATGTCTTAATAACAGTCACATTATATTCAGAAATAGTCATTGTCCACGTCCAATATGTGATTATAAAGGTTTCAATGAGGTTTAACATAGAATCTCGAAAAAGTACGATAAAAATACCTTTTATATTGTACATTATGTAATAGTCGTGTACACATGTCGGTGCAATGATAATTATTCGATCTGCAGAGATATTTAAGACACGTTCAAATATGAAGAAACTGTCTAACGAGTGCGTCATGTAATACACATGCTTCGAGCCATTGTCACGTAACAGACGTAACGAGGGAATTAAAATTACTTATGTACAGAAAGGACTGTATATGTACATCGTTTATGCTACTTCAACTTTATAGATCATTTATCTTACAAGGCATACTTCGATCAGCACGAATAGCATGTATTAATGAGTCTAACTTGGTTAAAATTTGAAATAAAATTAAGAATCTTTCAGACACCATTCGGTCACACAGCTTGAATTGTAGTAGCAATAAATCAATTATAAATTAGGTCATTAGGATATTGAATCTGCAATATGCCTATATCTAATTCGTACAATAATAGTTCACAAAATGCACTGCATAGTCGAAAGGGTCGTGTACTGTTGGTTGAAATAAATATGCAATAAATTATCGTTATTATATTTTTGTAAGTTACGGAGAATATTGTTTTCGTGACGATAATATAAATTTGGTACTAAACATGGATATAGAAAGTTCAGAGACTAAGAGATATTACTTTTGATCGTGAATGGTATATTAACAATAATTAGTATAAAGTATGAAGCAGGAAGGGTTTTGTGTAAAATAAGAATTCTTTTTAGTAATTGTTCCGTTAGAACGGAATTATTAAGAATTATCGCCGGACACATTTGTTTGATGGTATGCAACAATACAAACATTAAAGCATTAAAATAAAATAATTTATTTACAGAGCGATGTACATTTCTTTTGTTTTAACTTTCGTACTCCTGATACACGTGCAAGTATACCGGTGTTCCAAGCTTAATCGTATCACGGCTAAAACATTATTTCTTCTTCTAAACGTTTGTACAGAATGGTTTTTCTGGAGATTACATGATAATTATGCGTATTTACAAATCGACATGCACTCGTGATTCAAATTATTTCACGTGTACATATATGTTAATATGTTTATGGATTTATTAAAATCGTAATGCTTAAATTACTATCGTGTGTCCTGGTCACATCAAGATTATACCGAAAAAATCGTTATAAGGCACCACTATACTCCACATGTAATCTTGGTAATTTGTTTTCGACATAACTTATATAACGTACAGACGTTTATTTATCTTCCATGCAAGATGTGATTAGTTTCGTCGTAGTTCGAAAAAGGTACAAATTCTAAATCAGTCCGTGATTCGTAATTGTCTACTTATACAGATGAAACCATTGGATACTTACGAAACAAGGTTGATTCTCTCCTCATATATTCATGATTATTATGTACACGATTCTGTACAAAAGTTTAGGAAAACTGATTCATCACAAGCTACACATACGTAGCCTGATAATGAACAAGTTACATCGATAGTATTACTATTTATAAATATATCTCACAGAGCACGACGTACAATTTTCACGTGTAACCAATACAACATTTTCTTACAATAAATGCATAAGCTAATTAGAAAACTGTCTCATGTTAAATACATGACACATTGTGCATTTGTCACAAAAAATGAAGTACTTAATTTTTTAATTAAACAAACTTTCATCACACATATTACTACACAGAAAAAAATAATAATATTCCTTCTTGATATTGTGTAGATAAGTTTCACAGGTACTTGGACTGTATTAACTACTATTTGTTCTTTTAATATGCTTTCAAAATAAAATAAAATTAGCTAAATTATCTATTAAAGTACAAAAGAACAAAGATTATAATTATCGTACAAATTGATTAGATTTCTTCCCATACAATATTTTACAGACTGCTTTGTACATTTGGAAATAAAGCAGCTATGAACACTTTAAGCGGAACACCCTGTATACTATTTTATAAATTATTCTCGATTTATTTGAAGATTTTGCTACTTGAGCTCTATCGGTATTAAAAGAAAATATATATACATATATCAGTTCTTAACATTGGAAAATAGATATTGATTTGAAATGTGAATAAATACCTAGAATAAATTAAAATACGAAACGTTATTTAACATTTGTGAAAAAGTCATCTTTCGTCTCTTCTTTTTCCACAATTTTGAACCATACAAAATAAATAAATAAATAAATAAATAAATAAAATATCTTTACAGCTAGCATACAAAAAAACACGCTAACAAAATAGGAATGAATCACAGATCTTTCTAGGTTACCACAAAATTATCTGGATAGATAATATCCATTAAAATAAACTATATGCTATTGTAAGAATTGCCATTTTTTTGGCATGTAATAATAGATTTATGCATACAAAGCATATATTCGTATAAGGACTTGAATATCAATACTGTATGGAAGAGTAAAGGCTCAGAAAATCCTTATTATTATGTACATTTGTATTAACTTAAACTAGATTTATGTGACTTAAAAATGTTTTAAAATAAAAATAATCTAATTTGTATTTTTTTTTAACTACAATACACAATTACTTCGCAAAGGAACTTCTTTGTTAAAAATCGTATAATTTAACTCTTTGTAGAATTATCTTTAAAATCAGTAATATGCCACTCAACTTTTCATATAAAGATACTATATAAAGATACTTTCCATCATAAAATTGAAATGAAAAATTGCATTATTAAATATATGGACCTTTTCAACATTAACTATTAGCAAAGGTATGATTGTAAGTGAAATTTATAAATGTCAATTATTAAGTAATTCATGACTATTATAAAGCTCTGTGACAGACTTATCAATTTAAATCAAGTGCTAATACTATTTACAATGTTATTGACTGACTGAACAGGCACACATCCTTCATAAAGAGTATTATACAGCAGTTCATTAGTGTGCTAGTTCTACTTTGCAGTAGAGATTTTGGTATGATGCACTATTCTTTAGACAGAGATTTCACCATACAGCATCGAATATGCCTCAGAGGATATGTTTCTACACAAAGTATAGTGTTAGCCGTCTAAAGGTGGTCCTAAGTATACCATAGATACCTCTGTATTTCCATATACAGCAGATACAGAGGGGTATAATCTTTTGTCTGGCAACCCTATATATTTAATTTCTCATTACTATCGTTAACAATGCTAGAATCTAGTTTAAAAAGAAATTTTTTTCTCGAATATATATAGTATTAACTAAAAAATATAGAAATACAATACCTCTAAACGCCACTCCCAAAAATTCATAATTTTTCTCGAAAGATAATGTCTTATCGTCGCAATCTAATATTACCCTAATTCTCTCCCCAACCTGTTAATTACAAATTTATATTTTACAAAATATTTGATAATTATTTATATTACATTTTCTAGCTGTTTTCAAAACTATGTTAAGAAAGGTAACGTACCTGATATTTTGGAGCATTATTAAGTAAAGGATAATTTCCTTGGACATTTCCATTGTGCCACAATTGATTATCTACTAGATTCCAACCCCACGAATGTTCGTCACAACCCAGAAGAGCTACATAACCATGACATATTAAAGGTGCTTCTCTTGTAGCTATACCTATTACTGCTACTGTACCCAAAGGTCCTTCCCATATAATTTCCCATGCATGACGACCATGTCGAAAACCAATTTTGCCTCTACAACCATCTGTACTTTGAGCAATTGGATTTCTATAATACAAATACACAATCATTTATTTAGCATTCATTCGTGTACAATCTGGTTCAGCATTGACAGCTATTATAAACATATTTTGAAGAAATTAATCTTGCCAATCGTTAATACTTTTTTCTGATAAAAATTCTTTTAAACAGGTTTCATGTACGTGTTGTCATTCATAATGAGAAGATTAAAATCCATCAAAAAGGGTGCACAGTAATGACTGAACTAGAGAATCTACCTGTGAAGGGTGAATCCATTGGATTTAATGTAAATATTACGAGAACAGTCATTAGGATTCCACGCATGATACAGTGCACGAAGTTTCGATTTATACGTAGGCACCGATGATAATAAGTCGGAACTAAGAGCTTCTTGAGCTAATTTTCTGATACAGTGCATTCTCCACGCATCATTGTTCTCATCATTTAAAAATTGATTCCACCGTTTGCATACCAACGAACAGTTCTTCAATGTGTGTAAATCTAAATAAGAAAAAATCACTTCTAAAACATGATCAGATGCTCGAAGTGCTATATCGTCCATTTTGCCGGTTCTAATCGAGTAAACTAACAAAATATATACGCGCACAATGTTGCGCGGCTTGTATCTGCTGGCTATTCACGAGAGTTTTCATGTACCGCGACAGCGCATAATAAACGAAAAGTTGTTTAACGTATAAGATATTGCATACTTGTCGCTCGTTTAAATAATGACTATTATTTGTAATGATTCATTATAATTTTAATTACTGTAAATGTTTTTCCTGTTCATAGTATAATAAAATATTTGAAAAAGATTGTTGTGTAAATGTTGTGTTTAGATCCCTCAATCTACAATTTATATTTCATGATAATGTTCGGGTAATGAGTAATTAATTATTTTGCGTCAACATTGCAATACGTATAAGAGCCGCCTATATCAATTCTACTGTGCATGCGAAGTGCAATATTTCGGCACTTTGACGATGCAGTATGGTTCCTGAGGCATTTAGAAACAAATTTCCATTAGGGTTTGATGCGTTTTGATGCCTAATAAAGTCAGAAAATCAATTTTTGTCGAATTCGGTTCAAAACGGTACAGGTGGCGCCATCTAGCGGCGAGCGGCGGAACTACGAAAAACTAAAATTTCGATTTTCTCAAAAATTAGGGACTTTTCCGAAATTCTGAGATATACAAATTGTTCCTTGTCGCCTACGGAATCGAACGAATCTAATTATAGCCTGCTAGGACCATTATTAAAGAAAATAGAAAAATAGCCCAT